GTAAAGATGAGTTTGAGTATAAATTGTTAAATGTAGTAGAAATGAATAGATTAACAAATATTTTAAAAGGTAAAGAAGAAAAAGATTTTGAAGATACTTGGTCAAAACTGTATAATTGGTTGAAAATATTAGTTAAAGGTTAAACATTTATATTATTTATTTTTTATTGTTTAAAAAGATAGAGCTGTGGTAGATTCTGTATTCAAATTTATGTTAATAGCGTTGAATTAGTTATTATTGAAAAATAAAATAAATTCAGTAAAAAACAAAAACAAAAAAACAAATAGGCAGTCTCCACAGCTTAGAGGGAACATTGTCTAAGACCCTGGAGTGCCACAGGCAGTCTACTGGGCTACCTGGGCAATGGTTTGGTTCAGTATAGACTCTGTTTTTCAGAATATGCTGTGCTCCAGTGCTTACCACAAAGGCATCTTGGGCTTCACACATCTTAGTGACAGAGGTCTGGAACTCCCCAATGAAGTCATGGCCCCCGTCGTTATCATAATCATAACACACAACCTGGCAAGAAAAAGCAAGAGAACACTTAGGGTTTTGCAGAGTTCAGAAGTGTCTTCATTTCTGAGATGCACTCATATTTGAGTATTGTTTAATTCTGCAAGGGTTAAGAGAGACTTCAGGGCTGCATTCAGACATCAGGATCAATGATACACCAGGAGTCCCCGACTTTGTTGAGCTTGTGGACACTTTTGGAATTTTTAAAAGAGGCAGTGGTCACAATCACAAAATGGCTGCCATGGAGAGCACAGCCAACCACAAAATGGCTGCCATGGGAGACCGGAGCCAATTACAAAACTGTAGGAGGTCCCAAGCTGAGTGCCTTCCTATAATGGTATTTCTGGATGGGTGCTCCCTGAAGACACAAAGGTGATGTCTCCTGGGCTCTTCTGAAGCACCTCCTACTCTAGTGAAGTGGCGGAAAGTCAGGATTGGCGCTTTGCTTTGAAAAAGATGTTTTGAGGAAGAAGGAAGTGGGCATCAGGAAATCCACTGATGAACACTGTCGCACACTTGGGCACCATGTTGGAGATCAGGAACTCAGATCATGGTTTGTGCAGTAAACTTTGTAAGTAACAAAACCAGGCATAACTCTAGTTGTCTGCTTCTCATTTCCTTTCTGCTTCTCAGCAGGGAGGACACCCTCCCTGCATGGCTCTGTGGTGAGGCAGAGGCAAGGGGCAATGCAACTCAACAAACTGTGTTTGTGAATTCAGACATCACAAGCCATAATTAGTATAAACAATGGTTAACAATCCAACTACAAACCCTAGCTTGAAGCCACTTTCCCAAGAACAGAGAGGGATTTATAAAGTCACACTTTGCTTAGAACTTAGAACTGGTGCAGGCACTGCACTTTGGTCATAGGCAGTGTTCCCTCTAAGCTGAGTTAGTGTGAGCTAGCTCACAGTTTTTTAGCCTCCAGCTCACACATTTTTTTCTTCGCTCAGGAAGGATGGCTCCAGAGCAAACTAATTTATGCAGTAGCCAAATCACTCGCTCACAACTTTAATGCCAGTAGCTCACAAAGTAGAATTTTTGCTCACAAGACTCCACAGCTTAGAGGGAGCATTGGCCATAGGTACAATCATGGTGAACTGTTCTTCCTGTTTGCAACTTATGCTGATTATGCACAATGGTGACTGGCTGGAAATCAGTGAGATACAGTAGCAAACTCCCCTCCCCCCCAGTAGTGTCTCAACATTTAAAAATTTACCACCTTAGAGAGGAACAAGAAGATAAAGAGCCACACCAGTCACGGGAGATAAAAAATAAGGCCAAGGCCAATGGTGCAAAATCAGTTAAAATATATTTTATTAGTTAAATTTCCAAAAATTCCCCAAAAGGAGATCTTTTACTCTTTTTGAAGAACTACTGCAAGCTGAACAGATTCTCATAATGAAGACTGTTGGCGAAAATGTGTAGGGTATTTTTTGATATCTAATAATCGCAAAATTTTTTGAAATCTAATACTCGAAAATCTTAGGAGGAGGAGGAGAAGAGAGTGGATTTATACCCCGCCCTTCACTTGGAGTCTCAGAGCGACTTACAATCTCCTTCTCTTTCTCTCCTCACAACAGACACCCTGTGAGGTAGGTGGGGCTGAGAGAGCTCCGAGAGAACTGCTCATGAGAGAACAGCTCTGAGAGAACTGTGACTGGCCCAAGGTCACCCAGCTGGCTTCATGTAGAGCAGTGGAGAGTCAAACATGGTTCTCCAGATTACAGTCCGCTACTCTTAACCACTACACCAAACTGGCTCTCAGGTGTTACTGGAAGGTGTTACTGGATTCATATCTAGCTGTTCTATTGTAGACCAACACGGCTACTCTCTGAAACATTTAAAAAGTATTATTTGAAATAAATAAAGGGGATGATAGTGAAGAAAATACATTTAAATTAGTGATGTGAGCGCAGTAACACGCTAGAGACCAACAAGATTTTCTAGGGTCTAAGCTTTCGAAAGTCAAAGCTCCTTTTGTCAGATATGGTATCTTGTTGGTCCCAAGGTGCTACTGAGCTAAAATCTAGCTGTTCCACTGCGGACCAACACAGCTACGGTAATGCTGTATTTTAACAAAAAAAGAGATAACTTGCCTGAAGCACAGGAGAGTGCCAGTCTTAAAGACTTGTTGTAAGGTACTGCCAACAAAAAAACGTCTTTTTCACTGAATTAAAGCAACACGCAAACCATGAAATCATGGTGCTGAGTTAATTCTCCCTCTAGCTTTCACCACCCTCAGGGCCCAGGCTCCTGATTTTAAGGAAACATCAGATGTTTATTCCAGGTCCAACATGAATAGCTTGCTTTCCCCTGCCAAAAAAATCACTCAGTGCTCTAGTTAGAGACTTTATTTAAAAAATAGTATAACTAAACATAAGAAAATTAAACAGGATCAAAGATACACTAATGACACTGGCGTATAGTTCCAGATGGTCAGCCGTGTTGGTCTGAAGCAGTAGAACAAATTTAGAGTCCAGTGGCACCTTTAAGAATAAACATTTGTAAGTCTTAAAGGTGCCAATGGACTCTAAATTTGACACTGGCATATGTAAAAGCTATTTTGAGTAAATGAGAATGCATGACTCTCCTAATCCAGGGATGATGAATCTAAGAATGAATCTGAATTCTAAGTCTTTTACCAAAAGCATATGCAGAAAAGGTATCCTCTGAATCTGAGAAGTTCATATGTCACATAGAGCTGTGGGCTTATACAGAGTGGATATGTGAAAATCATGTTTCCCAGCTCTTCTGTCCTTACAGTTGCCAACCTCCAGGTGCTGCCTGGAGAATTCCCACTATTACAACTGATCTCCAAACAACAGAGATCAGTTCCCCTGGAGATAATGGCTGCTTTGGATTGCGGACTCTATGGCATCATATACCCGTGAGGTCCCACCCCTCCTCAAACCCAGCCTTCTCCAGTCTCCACCCCCAAAATCTCCAGCAATTTCCCAACCCAGCCTGGCAACCCTAGTTATCCTTCTGAACTGACCATTTCATAATTTTATTCTGAGCATACAAAGAATAATGCTGTGACGGCTAAGTATGGCTGGCCAATTACAGTATCACTGTTCTGTCTCCTGTGATTTATGATGGCGGGCAAACAGCTATTCATGAGCAGTTCTATCAACTGTTATCAGAATTGGTTCATGCAAGCCGAAGAAGCTTCTTGAAGATGCTGACTTGCAGTACAACAAGATGGGTAGCCATGTTGGTCTGTCAGTAGCAGCAGAAAAGAGTAAGAGTCCAGTAGCATGCGTCAGAAGCGGTCCCATCAAGGAAGCAGCCGGCCAGTGAGATACAAGAGTCCGCCGGAGAAGGAAAGAAGCCGAAGCCAGAAGATACAGCAGGTCCACCACCACCAGGGTGCTGGTAGGAGATCCCCACCCCTATAACATGTGGCCTTAGGTAGGATCAAATAGTTCTTAGAACACCCCCTGTAAACCGCCCAGAGACCCCTTAGGGGGTTAGGGCGGTATAACAAGTTGAATAAATAAATAAATAAAATAAATAAAGACTAACAGGGTATGAGCTTGTGTGAGTCACTGCTCACTTCTTCAGACTGAGCAGTGACTCACAAAACCTCATACCCTGCCACAAATTTTGTTAGTCTTTAACGTGCTACTGGACTCTTGCTCTTTTTTACTGTTGCAGTAGAACAATGATAAAGAAAACTGCCTCTTTGGAGTTGTTACAGGAAGTCAGAAGCAGATTCAATGAGTTTTAACTTATTCAGGCTCATTTATGCTTTCTAATGGTACAAAGCCTATTAAAAACCTTATTACTTATTTATATAAAACGTTTCTATGCCACCTTTCCACCCAATAGGGGATCCAAGGTGGTAAACATTAAACCATTAACGCATTTCAACCATTAGAACATTTGAGACATTAAAACAACCATTTTAAATGTTTTAATGTCTCAAATGTTTTAATACTTTAAAGTACATATAAAATATTTAAACAATTCTATAAAACACATAAACACCTATAGCAACACAACTGGGGGGAGGCCAATGACAGTTATTGGGGGAACACTGAACAAAGCAAAAAGGGTCTTTACCCACTGGCAGAAGACAAGGATAGATGGAGGCAAACGAAGTTCCCTGGGGAGGGATTTCCAGAGTTAGGGGGCCATGTCCAAGAAGGCCATTTCTTGGGTTGCCACTCCTCTAAGACTTATGTGGAGGAGGCACACAAAGCAGGACTCCCAAAGATGACCAGAGTGGGTTGCTGCAGGGTTTTAAAGATCAAGACCAGCACTTTGAATTGGGCCTGGAAGCAAACTGGGAGTCAGTGTAGGTGGAACAAGACTGGAGTGAATACTTACATACTGCCATGACTGATTTATATTAGATCCCATGACCAGGGGAAGGGGGAAGCCAGTCTTGAGTTGCTGACTGGTATGTCTGCCAAACAGGTTGCCAAATGCTGGAGGTGGGGAGAAGACCTGAGATTATGGGAGAATCCCAACGGTACATCTACCCTTGTGCACCTCGTAAACCAAGTGAAGGAGGATTCAGCTGCTATTACCTTGATCTGTTTTTCAATATCCCCATCGCACAGCGATATTAAAGGCACAGTGAACGGCTTCCACACGGGATCCAGCGTATATTTAATAACCTAAAATGCAGAGCAAGGCAGAGAAATATTTGTGCAAACAGGTAAACAACACAGTTCAGATTCACAGCAGAAATTGGCAACAGATGCTCCAGGCCAGACAGTGAGGTCCGTGACTGATTTTTTTTTAACACCTCCGTCCCATGGAATCAAGACAGTGATGCAAATTACCAGCTAGCACCAAGGCCAGCTAGAGTAAATATTAAGCATAATGGTCTCAAATGAGGATATGGTTTCCATATAAGTTGTATTTCTATATGAACTTACTAAAATGTGTTGCAAATATGCTGTGCACACAGGTGATCTCTGATTGCTCCAGGATAGGAAAGAGAGCAGGATGCTAGATTCTGGAGAGCTCAGAGGCTCCTAGCAGTAGGGCAGTGAAATTGTGCTACCCACATACTAGGAGGTTTCTGCATACTTGAGAAACTGCTGGGTATGAGAATCTTATTAAGTTAAAAAAGGCATTCCTCTCCACCCCCCAAAAAACAGCCAATGCAGTACTGAGTATACCCATCATCAATATATCTCATTCTCAACATGACCGAATCTGTGAATATTTAAATCTGGAAACTGAAGCTATGAACAAATTATACAGATCTTTCTACAATCACAAAAAAGCCCCATGTTTGCAGAAAAAAATCTGAAATCTAAAAAGGGGGAAGGTTAAAAAAAAAGAAGCTCAACTATTAGAAACAGAGCATACAGCTTTAAGAAACAAATGCCCTCAATGGCTGTTACTAGGGAACCACAACAGTACTGCCAACCTTCAAACTTGGTTTCTGTCAATAAAAGGTGGGGGAGGCAGGGCCCTAATCCAGGCCTGTTTTGGCTTTTGAGGAAGGACTCATCAGGGCTAGCCCAGCCAACAACCACTGGGTGGCTTGTTACCACCTGACTTGCATGATCCAGGTCCAGCTGCTTGCTAATGTTCAATAACAGCTTCCCCACAGTGTGGTGCAGTGGTTACAGTTTCAGACTAGGATCTGGAAGACGCAGCTTTGAACCCCCACTCTGCCATGGAAGCTTGCTGGCTGACCTTGGGCCAGTCACACCCTTTCAGCCCAATGTGCCTCACAGGGTTGCTTTGAGGATAAAACAGAGAGGAGAATAATCTTTGGGTCCTTGCCAGAGAGGCAGGATATAAATGAAGTAAATAAATAACAAATATAGATGAACACAAGGGAGCACATAAAAGGTAGGCTGGTTCGTGAGTGGCAAGGTGAAACGAAGCACGGAAATGGGAAGATGTGGAGGTTGTCAGGAGGAGAGAAAAAGGAAATTGTGTGGGAGGGGGAATACAGAAGAAAGTCAGGTGCCCGCACAAGACTGTGGGTTCCCCACCATGCAACTGGGCCCAGGCCAGCAGCCAGTGTTGCACAACTCAGCCACCGTTTTCTTGGACAGGGGCTGCCAGGGAGAGGGAAGACAGGAAAACTGAAGAGCAGATAACTGAAGACTCTACAAGCTTATAGTATTCTGAAGGAAGGAAATTTGGATCTTGGGTAAATTCCCAGTCATTTATTTCCCCTCTCCATTACTTCTCATGGGCTGCCAACTTGCATTTGTTGATTTATTGTGGTTCCTTTCCCCAGGACTGCCACATACACCCATTTCAACCTGCAAACCCCAACCTGATTGATAAACATTGCTGCTCTTCCAGTCAAGAAAGGCTAGCCTCATTTTGTAACTAAGAATGATCTGAGGAGGTTCAACTTTGCACACAAGGGTGAAGTTACGCTGTCCCTCACTCAGAGCAGTGCCACCATTTAGTGCATGGATTAATTCTTAAAGTTATAATGATTGTAAAACACTTCCTACATGAGGTTGGAAGGATCAAGAAGAAAACCTCCACAACATACAGTTGGAACAGCGTAGAACCAAGATGCCGTAAGACACTCAAACCCTGGTGTGGGCGGAAGGAAGGATGCACGCTTACAACCCCACATGCAAGATTCACACTTTATGGATGTGTCAGTACTAACACAAATCTGTGCGAAGGAGGCAGCTCTTCCGCACTGTGGCTCTTCCACTTTTTCTTCCGTGCTGTTTTTCTACTGAAAATAATCCTCCAGGATTTTATATTTTTTGCCCCACAATGAAAAAGAGAACCATATATTTTCTCCAGCAGAGGTAAGAGCGCGTTCATTCAGACACTTGTGCTGAGGATGAAATCTTGCGCCTGGAAATGCACTAAAAACCACCCTCCATTAGCTTAAAACTGTCAAAAATGGCCATCATTGGCCCCGGTCACATGGGAGGTTTAGAGCCGGAAGAGGGACGGATCGGGGGCGCAGCAAACGGGCACGATCCCACCGCAACATCTGGGAAGCGTTGTGCACCCGTCCCCGATCCGGCCCTTCAGGCCGAAAATCCGTAGTTAAAAGAAACCACCTACAGAGGTGGACTTACCAGAAAGGCCGTATCAAGCGCGGCCATGGGATCGCCGGCGCGTACTTCTGCCGGCGCATCCGAGGCTCCTGGCCGAACTGCGCATGCGCACACATGAGCAGCCAGCTGTCTCGGTCTCCGGTCGGTGGCTTCCTCCCCAGCATCTGATCGTGCTGGGGAGCAACGGCGTGGCGGCTCAGGGGATCTATGTGATCCCGCTGCCGCCGCGCGTTTCTTTTGGCGCGGCTCTGAATAGCCGCACTTTGCCCGTGTTTTTTCTGCCGTGTGGCAGGGACCATTGTTAGAGCTGAATGGAACTCTCTCTTAAACCTGATTGACTATGCTCTTTACTGAAACACAGTCCAAGCATGTTAGTGCGCCTTGTGGACAGGAAGGTGGGTATTTTCAAAGGCCCACATTGGTGCCATTTTATTTCCGTCAGCCTCTCTTGCCATTTTCCCATCAAAGTATTTTTTGAGAGCTTAAAAAAACCAATAAATTGCTTATTTTGCTATAAAAACCCTCAAAAAGCCATTCGGTGGTGCAGCTGGGGGAAAATGCAGGAGAATGCTGATTGAGAAGAGTGCAGAGAAAACCTCCTACATGGAAGCCCCATTGTCAGTTCTAATGCCTCTGTATTTGAGGCAATGAATGCAGAATGAAGAATGGATGCAGCCACCAGTCAGTGCTTTGTCCCATCCATGGTAGATGGGTTAAAACCAACATCTGTCTGGGTAGTGAGACCTTTTAAAAATATTTCTAGGATTTAAAGACAGGAGGATCATGGAATGTAAACAATCAGTCCAGAGGAGTTAGCTGTGTTAGTCTGTTGCTGCAAAATAGTAAAAAGCCCAGTAGCACCTTTAAGACTAACAAACTTCATTGTAGCATAAGCTTTAGAGAAACACAACTCTCTTTGTCAGATGCAATCAATGACACCCGCTTCCAAGAAACGCGTTTAGGATTGGCATAAAAGAGAACAAGTGTACAGCTTCAAACTCCAGAGCTACCAGCAGCTTAAGAAAGGGTTAACAACATAAAAGCAAATCATACTTTTTGTCATCATGCATAAATCAATGATCCAGGCAGACAACCCTAACATTTCTTAAATCCATTAGAGATTTTTAAGTACCAAATTAGAAACGGAATGAACTTCTGTGCAGATATATCCTAAACCGGTTAGCAAAAGAATAATCTGATTGCAACAGAATGGGTATCTGTGTATAGTCCGTTCATGACAACAAAGTGCCTTCCTTACCTCTGTTCGGTGGACCAGCATCCATTTCCCATCATCCCCTGGTTTATAAAACTCTAAAAATGGGTCTGATTTTCCAAACAAGTCCTGTGAAAGGGGGTGGAAACATTATGAAGATTTTTACAGTATCTGTTATCACTGCCTAGGATAACCACACAATGGATTATCATCAGAAGGTAAAAGAAAGACTGTCATGAAGTTGTAATAAATCAGACGCACCTAACAACTCTTGTTACTTTCTCCCTGTGCTACAGTTCAAATTAATGAGAAACGACGGAACTATAAATCTCAACACTCATAAATACAAGCAGGTAGCAAACCTCAGCAGACTTTTCCAAAAGCAACAAATGTTCTTGGTAAGAAACCAGCTGCTGGAGCTGATATCCAAAACACTGGCCTTGTCATGAAATACAAGACCCCAGAAAGTTTGTCAAGGGTTCAGAAAGCTTAACTGGGGGAACAGTCTTATGTTTGTCAGTCGGTCTCCCAAAGGGCTGCCCAGTACTCATATCCAACAGCCACACTCAAAGAGAGGTGGCAGACACAGGACATCCCCTTCGCTTGTTTTTCTTTCCCCTTCGCTTGTTTTTCTTTCTTATCTGAAAATATCATCAGAAACAGAATGGCAGGAGGGAAGAAAAGCTCAGCTCTTTTCCTTCATGCTTTGTGCATGTAGTCAAAATCAGCCTTCTTCCCAAATTGTTTTCTCACTGGTGGAAGAAAAGATACCCATTAGGACATGTACGCTTCCCCAGTGGGGCACACAGCAACTCCCAGGGGCTGTTTCAGGTTGGGGAAATGGCGGGGAAGGCTTATGCCTCCTCCCCTCAAGTGCTGCAGTTCTGATCCAAGTTGGGCTGCTGGGAACCTGGGAATTAAGGTCTGAACACGGAACACCCCAGAGTACATCTGGATGACATGTGGGGGACATAAGGGCTTTGTAACACACAGTTACAGTCCGAGTCTGCAACAGTCCCTGTATTCTACTTGAAAACTCCACAAGCTTTCATTCAGAATTGGGATCCTTCCTCTGTTATTAACATCTTAAAGTAGAAAAGATATATCCTTTATGATTCATGCCTTTCCCCCCTTTAAAATGCTAGCAACAAAAGCAGGGAGCACACAGGTTAAATGGTTAAAACCCTTTCCCTTCCCTGCATGACCCAGAGGCAAACTGAGGTTGCAAGTTGTATTTAATGGACCCAATGAGAAACGTGATCTCTACCTTGTCTGTTTCAGCCCTGAGACTGGGGGCTCCTCCATCATACCCTGAAATATCTATTTTAAAATTTGCTCTCCCCCTTTAATGAAAGGGGGCAAACTAAATGTCTACCCTGGTGATAAGTTCTGGGGAACTCAGCGCAGCAGCTTACTCGCTCTATTCTGGTACCTTGGCTGGCCCTAATCAAAAGATATTACATGACTGTTGCTTTTGGAGTCTGCCAGAAGCGCCTCAAAAGGCCAGTTCATTTAATAAAGCAGTTACGAGAAACTTCCTTTCCAGAAAGCTATTTAGGATGCTTAGTTTCATTTAACTGCTGTGTGTGGGTGTGATTTTCATACGTGTTCGTTTTATTGAGTTTTACACATTACACTTCTTTTAAACATGAGGTCAATCAATAAAGAAACAAAAGTCTTAGCATGAAAGGGTTCTCCACAGCCACCACCATATTTAAATGGACCTCTCAGCACCTAAACTCACAGCCTTGGCACACTCACTGCTTAGAGTTGCCAACAGCTCCGTAACCAGAAAGTTTTGGCTGGTGGGGCTGGGGCACTGGGGCAAGGGAGCGGGGAACTTAATTAGATTACTCAACAGTTTGGCGGGTAGCAGCGGCAGGGAGGCTGGGGAAGAAAGGGAAGCCGCCCTGCCTCTTCTGGTCAGTTTTACTCCATGGATCTTAAGAACTCATGCAAATGGCAAGCCCTTTTAGAACCATTGTATAAGGTAGTGCCTATGCCCTATCTTTTTTATCTAGAAAATCATGAGTTAAGGAGAATGTTTACCCTCATGAGGTGGGATGCCCTCCCTTCAGCGGTTTCAGAGGGGAGGTTTAATTTAAAAAAAACCCTTGCTGATCGTATATGTCGCTGCTGCAGTGACGGAATTGAAACCTTAATGCATGTTATATATGACTACAGGGCTGTAAGGACTAGAAAGCTCCTAATGAAAGACGAATAGATATAATTTGTTACAGGACTTAAAAGGTTTTACATGCATGCTCTATTTGATATTCATTGTATATATTTCATTTATGTTTGTGGTTGTATGAATTTAGTTTGTGTTAGTTTGTTGTATTAGAGTGCTGGCTTTTTGCTGTGAATAAATTTGTTGTTGTACTCCCCTCCAGCAGCTGTTAAACCTAACAGCTGATAGGTAGGAGTGAAAATGACTAGAAGTGGCAGAGCGGCTTCCGCTGCTGTAGGGGAGAGGCACACGGGTGTGTGTATGAGGGGTCTAGCATCCTTCTGGGGTGGGGCAGGGCTCATCTACAGTGGGGGTCCATCCCAAAGGCCCGCCACGGCTATGGGCCTGGTTGCCAACCTCCAGGCAGGGCCTGGAGATCTCCTGCTATTATGGCTGATCTCCAGATGACAGAGATCAGTTTCCCTAGAGAAAACGGCTGCTCTACAGAGTAGACTCTACGGCATTATATCCAGAGGTCCCTCTGCTCCCCAGACCCTGCCCTCCGAAGACTTCACCCCCAAATCTCCAGTAATTTCCCAACCCAGAGCTGCATCCCTACTGCTGATGGGTACTCTCAGACCAAAGAACTCTGGTGTGCTAATACTGAACACACAGGCACAGCAACCTGGTTTAAGCGCACGGAACACTGTAGGGGTAGGATTTCTCTTTATAACCAGCGTCCTATTTAAAACCAGACCTCAGCTATCTCAGGAGCCTTTCAACCGAGCAGTGGCTTTTAAAATACCGATCATTATTTTAAGCAACTAAGCGTCTGGCTGGCAACAAAGATGCTCATTGGATCTGAGGTGCGGGTGAACATAACAGCAGTGGGCTAGCGAAGACCGCTGAATTTATACTTCAGCAAAGAAAATCCTGTGAAGGCAGAGAAAAAGAAAATAAAACGCAGGGATGTCTCAGAGGGAAAAACACACAATGGTGCACCACCAAGCACAGAGCAGCTCCTTTCCCAGTTTCTCTACAGCAATAGCTGATTGGCCTTGATGTACAGTGCATCAAAGAGCCCGGGAAATAAACATGGCCCTAACCACCATTTCTGTGGCTTCTTTTAAGAAGTCTTTAGAGATTTCCTAGTTAAAGGGACTGCTTGTTTTCTATGCATTTGCACACTTTATTTATAACACACACAGTCTTTCTGCAAAAAGTACACAAACGACATACATATATTTATCCAAGCCTGACTAAATGTAAACAAAGGTGTCTGACTGCCTTCCATGCGTGGAACACATGCTCCAGGGTATCATACAGACATTGCAAGCCTCCTTTTCGCAAGATTCTAGACCTCATGATGAAGAAAGCTGCATGAAACAGGAATGAAAGGAGGCCAAGGAATACCCTTGCTGTTTGCGTCTTCTCTACATTGACTCTCTTTTACATACACTTTTCAAATGCTCTACATAGCAAGTGGATGGGGGGGGGAATGCTTAATCTTGTCTGTGTCTGCTGAATCTCCTTACAGACGTCCCTTAGGTTGGCATGCCTCCCCCCCCCATCTGACATATTCAGTCAGTCAGTCAAGTTTATTCTGATCTGAGATCAGAATTCAAATCAAAGTAATCAGCAAACATTTACATCAGTTCCAACACTAGGTAAACTAATGCACTAAACATAAAATACAGTACTGGGTTAAAGTATTAAGGCTGAGTCATACACTTCTGTCTCATTAGACATGCCTGAGCACAAAATCTGGCTACTTTGGGGGTCGTTTTGTTACAACAATCTCCAAGGAGGAGAGAAATATAAAACTGATTGGTTCTACCTGGGAAACTGGATAAAAGTGGAGTAATATAAATATTTTGGATATTCTGGTTAAAATCGACAGTATAACAAAACATGCTCAATTGTTTCTACCACATCTGAGAGGCATGGGCAGAGAGGTTTCTCATACGGAATTCGAGCAACTCTCCCTTCAAGAAGGGCAGATGGAAAGACATTCAATCGGGCAAAGGTAACGGCTCTGTGACGTTTAGGGTATTCCAGCGTATAGATAACATATTCAGTCAGGGAGTTTAGCTGCAAGGGAAATGACTTGAAATGTTCCGGAGGGCATTTTTAAATGCCTATGCCTATGTCTATGTCTTTTCTTTGTGTTTGAAAAACCAATAAAAATATTACAACAACAACAAAAAAGAAAGAAAAAGAAATGTTCCGGAGGGCATTTTTGGAGAGGGGAATGATCAGTGGTTAGGGAAAGGGCACCTTCCTGCCCACTGTAGTTCTGTAGTGGGGCAAAACATACAGGTAGGAATCCCAGGGCTGACTCCAGTGCATTATAGGTCTCTAGCGTCAGACCTCACCTAACATTTCTAGTGTGCTCAAGGATCAAACACTAACCTCCTGAATCACAATTCATACACTGTCAATATAATAATAACAATTAAGTACCATCCTGGAGGTTTCTATTTGTTTGTTTGTTTGGCCATCTTCTGGGAATGGAGCAGGAGTCACTGGGGGTGCGTGGGGGGGTAGTTGTGAATTTCTTGCATTGTGCAGAGGATGACCCTGGAGATCCCTTCCAACTCTATGATTCTAAGTTACAACTGACTCATGGCAACCCCCTCATGGGGTTTTCAAGGCCAGATGGGCAGAGGTGGTTCACCATTTCCTTCCTCTGCATAGCAGCCCCAGTGTTCCTTGGTGGTCCCCCATCCAAGTACTAACCATGACCATCCCTGCTTAGTTTCCAAACCCTTGGCAATATAGTACTATCGACTGATACGGCACTTTCTAGGGGTAACCACAAAAAGACAGCTTCCTGTCACAAGAACCTTCTGATCTAAATTTCTGCAGCAGAATATAAATAGAACCACTGTGCCAAAAGGGGTGGTGTTGTCATAGGCCTAAAGTATGTGAGGTTTCACCGTAAGAATATAAAATCTGATAGTCTGCTGTGATACATTGGGAAAGTATGAATTTTATTTGGGGAGGGAAAACATGTACCTTTTTATCCAGCTTTCTGCCAGCCATGCTGAGCGTGATCACACGATTATCTGATAGTTCTTGGGCTGCTATCTGAAAGACAACAGGAAACCAATGACACAATTTATTATTCACTACAAAAGGAATAATTCACTACAAAAGGGAGCTGCGGTGGCTCAAGTGGTTAAGACGCTGAACTGCAGGCTGTGGAAGGTCAGTAGTTCAGCAGTTCGAGACCCGGGTTGCCATATGACGGAGTGAGCTCCCGTCTCTAGTTCCAGCTCCTGCCAACCTAGCAGTTCGAAAGCAAGAAATTGCAAGTAGATAAATAGGTACCACTTCGGTGGAAAGGTAACAGCGTTCCGTGTGCCTTGGTGTTTAGTCATGCCGGCCACATGACCACGGAAACGTCTTCGGACAGTGCTGGCTCTTCAGCTTGGAAATGGAGATGAGCACCGCAACCCTAGAGTCGGATTCGACTGGCTTTCGAGCAAGGGAACCTTTACCTTTACCTTTTACAAAAGGAAACAACATGAACCCTATATAAAAGCTGTTGGGGGAAGGGAGAAGCATGGTTGGGTGTTGGGCTGAGGACTCCAGAGTTACTCAGAGTCCACGACCCCACCAGGATGCTCTATTTGCGTGCCCTACCTCTTCAAATTAAGCTGACCAGTATGGCTGCCTGGCCCACAGTCCTGGACCCAGCGTCAGAGAACCCAATCTCAACGTTTCCATTTACACAGAGATCAGTTATTCATCGGGCACTTTGCACAAGCTAAAACACTCCACCGTGGACTCGTCTTCTCAGTTACATGTCACAAGGTGCTCTGTGATTCTTTCATTAAAAAACAAACAAACCCACCCCCAAAAGCCAAGCATTGCCTAGGCAGACTGCACACTTGAGTGGAAGAGGGGTGGGTAGACAGAGAGAGACAGAGTTATTACTTTCCCAAAAGTTGCTCAGTTCAAAATCATATTCCCCACGCTGCTTTATCACCCACAAGCCAAACATATGGGGACTTCCAACATTTTGCCTCCCCTGGAGGAAATGCAGCTTACAGGTGGCAATTCTGAACAGAACAACACAGCATAGGCAATAGATCAAGATGCGTAGCTGTGTTAGTCTGTCTGTAGCAGCAGAAAAGAGCAAGAGTCCAGTAGCACCTTAAAGACTAACAAAATGCATGGTGGGGATGAGCTTTCATGAGTGAGTCATGAAAGCTCATACCCTGCCGCTAGGGTTGTCAGGTGCCTTCTGCCCGCTGGTGGGGGGATTTGGGGGGCGTTCTAGGGGTGGGCAGGGATGTCAGAAGCCCAGAAGTCCTGTCATCGCGTCCATGACATCGTGGCAAAGCTCTAATTTTTGGGCAAAACTCTATGGTAAAAACAGCTACAAACCACAGAGTTTTGCCAAAAAGTGTAGTGTGTGACCCCCGACACAATGATGTTACTTCTAGAAGTGACGTCAGTGTGTTGCTGCCATGGTGTGGGGACTTCTGTTTGGGGGCAGAGTTCCCCTGCTGGCCAGTGGTGGGCAGGAGCCCGCAAAACCAGGGGATCCCCCATCCCGACCAGGAACCTAGCAAGCCTTACCTGTCACAAATTTTGTTAGTCTTTAAGGTGCCACTGAACCCTTGCTCTTTTCTACTGCTACAGCCTAGGCAGACGGTGCGTTTCAGTGGAGAGAGATGGTTAACCCTCCCTGTAGTAGTTTTTCACCTTAAACTCATATTCACCAGGATGCTTTTTCACCCACAGACAAAACATGCAGTGATCCCACATTTTCTCTCCCCTGGGGGGGAAAAAGCAGCTCATAGTGGGGGAAGCTGAGCAGGAAAAAAAACCCAGCAGGGAAATGGTTAGTTCCGTAGCTTCTCTCTGCTCACCCTTTCTCTGCACTGACCAGTAGCCAAACTAGGCTGCTTGCTTAGAAGACAACACAGAGGAGTGGGAATGATTCACATTGGGCTTGCAGCACTGCTAAAAGGGCGTGTTTTAAATCTAGACATTTCCCACTCTCTACATTGGATAAACAGGTCAGTCCCTACACAAAAGAATAAATGGACACAAATCTGACATTTAAAAACTGCAACACTCAAAACCCAGTGGGAGAACGTTTTAATCTTCCAGGTCATTCCATCACTGACCTAAGAGTGGCAGCCCCCAAACAAAGACATTTCAAGGGGAAATCTCAACATGAGATTGCTGAACTGAACTCAAAAGTTCAGAACAATGAATCCCTCAGGGCTCAGTAGGGACCTAGGATTCTTATCTTGCTACAGATGCTAATTTTCTGTCCTCAAGGTATTTTCCCTTCTCCTCTAATCAACATGCACCATATCTTTGCATCCTTTACAAGCATTCTTCGCAACACCCCTCCCACCTTCTGACTAGAATAAAAAGGTTCAGGGTGGGATCTCCATGTCTACTCCACTCCTGACTAATGAAGGGAGTTCTCACTCTCAAAAGCTTATACCCTGAAACTCTTGTTAGTCCCTAAAGTGATACTGGACTTGAATCCACCTGTTCTAGGGAACCCTGCTGCCTTGGTGCCTTGCTTGTTGACTGGCCACTGGGTGAATGGTGCACTGGATCTTTGGCCTGATTTCTTCCAAACCTCAGAAGGGCTTTCAGCACTCCCCATAATAGCATCCTGACTAGCAGACACACAAGAACAAGTTATGCAAATCTGTTTGATTTGCATTGATAATCATATGCAAGCCTACTTAGTGTGTATGCTTTGTTCATTGTTGAACTAATCTGGTTAATTTGTATATTTTACTCAGCTTGCACAATTGGGGTTTTCTCTGCACGGAATTGCAACCATTGTTTTAAAAATCCTCAGTTTCCACAGCCCTGACTCCCTTGCCTACTAATCTGAGCACATGCTGGAAGTTTTTAAGGACAAACTATGGATGTGATGAGTATTTAAAAAAATATGTGACATTATGGAAAAATGTCTTGCCTCACTCACTGCAGGCAGGGTATGGAATGTGGCCGGGGGAGGGGGGGATATGGCATTGACCAGGGCTCAAAATAGCTTTTCTCTGTTAACAAAATGTTTGCTTTCCAAAATGATTTGAATAAAAAGCAGTGAGTCACAGAGTCTTTGTTGGTGGAGATAACCCACAATGAGCTGGCAATTGCTTCTTCTTTTCCCCTCATTAGTGGCACAGGGCTAGAAACCTGAAGTCACAGCCACTGGAAAGGAGGTACATGGAAGGGGCTGTGGTCTTGAACTCTGGTCAGGCACAGTGCAGAACTCAGCTCTAGCCAGAGATTACAGGCTCTTCTGGTGTAGTGGTTAAGTGTGCGGACTCTAATCTGGGAGAACCGGGTTTGATTCCCCACTCCTCCACTTGCACCTGCTGGATGACCTTGGGCAAGCCATAGTTCTGATAAGAGCTGTTCTTGAAAAAGAGCAGTTTCTGTCAAGAGCTCTCTCAGCCCCACCTACCTCACAGGGGGTGCCTGTTGTGGGGAGGGGAAGGGAAAGGAGTTTGTAAGCCGCTCTGAGACTCCTTTGGGTAGTGAAGGGCGGGGTATAAATCCAATCTCCTCCCCCCTTCTTTCTTCTTCTAACTGCTGGACTTGTTCTAAAACTCACCCTCCCCAGGGTAGGGTTTCCAGACTCCTGGTGAGTTCTTGAGAACGCCTAGAATTACAACTGATCTTCAGAGTACAGAGATCAGTTCCCCTGGACAAAACAGCTGTGTTAGAGAGGATTCAATGGCGTTATACCCCATTGAGGACCCTCCCTGCCTCAGACCCAACCTTCCAAACTCTACCCTCAAATCTCCAGGAATTTTCCAACCCAGAGTTGGCAACTCTTCCCCCAGGCATGTCAAGGAATTTCAAGGCTAGCTACCAGGACCATTAATTTGGGTCCACCTTCAGAACTTTTTAAAATGCTGGATCTCTAACACTGAATCCCTGGATAATTCCCCACTGTGCACTCCACACTGTGAATGTAGTAGAGCCGCCAATTCCAGGTTGAGAAAATCCTGGAGATTTGGGGGTGGAGCCCTCCCTGGGTAGGACAGAGTTTGGGGGAAAGGAGGGAGGGAGGGGCCACAGCAGGGTACAATGCCATAGAGTCCACCCTCCAAAACAGCCATTTTCTCTGAAGGAACTGATCTCTGTAGTCTGGAGAGCAGCTGTAATTCCAGGAGATTTCCAGGTTCCACCTGGATGCTGGCAACCAGCTAGATATTTCCTGTAGCACAGAATTCATGCAAGGGTAAAATCACCACAGTATTCCCTTGTGTCTGCATAAGAAAAGGCCAAAACGTGATTGCTACCATGGGAAAATTGGTTTATTTGGCATAACAACATCTACGTGTTTTGCCTATGCTTTCTGGCAACATTACTATACAGATCCCTGTGACAAAGCACATTAGGGGTCATTACATCAAATAAAATTCCCCCCCCCCACTGCACCAATCACTTTTTCACTTTTTCTTGTACTGCTTACCGATGTGGCCCTCTTGTCTGAATCCCCTTGTGTCTGCCTTTGCAGACTGCTGGAGCGGCATATCCCATATTAAAGATATCGGTCATAGGCATAGTATTATGACAATACCTATTACCATTTTTTCTAAAAAGCTGGCAAAAAGCACTCTGGGGGCAAGGAGGTGGAATGGTGGGCAAGAGGGGATATGCAGAGAAAACGGTACTGGATGTGAGTGGGGAAGTTTGAAAATCCATTCCTTCTCATACACACTACAGGCAAACCTCTCCTTTCTGGAGAGATTGCATCAAAGGGGGCATGGGAAACACCAGGGAAACCATGGAGGAAGAAGAATTGAAAGAAGACATCATGTGGATGCTCTCATTTGATGGCCAGGCCAGGGCTAATTCTCTGTGTGAAAGCAATCACAGGCACAAAAAGGGAAGGGTGGAGAAATGGTGAGTCACATGCTAATGAAACAGAATAAAATTAAAAAGTAACGATGCCCTGTGCGCTGGCTTATGTATTATGTGGCACATAAATAAGGCAGTCAACAACCCTGTGTACACTATATTGTCAATTTAGTAGTATCACCTGTGTAACAGTGTGTAACAGTGTAATGTGAAACAAACAGGCGTAAATA